CCCCAAAACCCCAAAACCCCAAAACCCCAAAACCCCAAAACCCCAAATTTATTTATCTTATTGAAACCTATGCACTTTCCTAACAAAAAATCCATTCATTGTTGCTACAGAGAGGTTAAGAATAAATTGATTATAAAAGTATTAAAGACTTGTTCATCAGAATGCGAATCCTTTCCGCTTTTTGTTCCCTTCCATGATGATAGACGGGAATTTGGAATCTTTGCCATTCAAAATGGCGAGTCTCTTGGCCGGCTCTTCCATATCGATGTCGCTAATCCTATCAAACTCAAGGTCTTTGGAAGCATTCGTATCGTTATTATCAAAGATATCATAAGGGTTTTGCTCTGAGATGCTTCAGTTGGACATACTAGCACTGGTAATGTAATGATTCACCAAAGCTTTTGGAAGTTTCATTCTTGCATATATTTCATTACGTTTAGAATTCACGTAATCATCAAGCTTGTTCTCGATTATGTTATACTTCATCTCTCTTCCTGTTTGCTTCAAGAAGGATGTATTGTTCTTCTTCAGGTCCTATGAATGATCTACTATTAATTACCTTATTTCTGCTCAGGTCTCCAAAGGCATCTTCTGGGTTAGTAGCAAATGATTTTTGATTGTCTATTTTAGCTAAAAATATGATTAAGAAGCAATTTGAATAACTTGTACCTTTTATATCCTTGAACAGCTGGACCTTGTCATTTTTGTAGTCGTAATAAGGCTCTTTAATGGATAATCGGCTTCTATGAGTCGTCGTCCTGTACTGATCCTCCACAGTCTTGACATTCTATCGAAAAGTTAGGGTTTAACACAATAGATAATTAGATTGTTTAGTATCCATAACTGCAATGAAATATAAGTTATGAAAACGGTGAAATCAAAGAGCAAAAGCCTAGGAAGATAAATTACATAGCTCTCTTGTTGGTCTATTATCTTTCTCTTGTGCCTTGTTTTCTCCTTGCTAAAATAATATTTATTCTCCGTCTTGTCACTTGTGAGTTCTTCTCTTCTGACGCTAAAGAGAGGATTAGTCCCTGTTTGTAGAAAATTGTTAGAAAACAGTAAAAGATACTTGTCTAATGATCTAATTAAAAGACAGATTTTTTATTGCAAAAATTATAGAAATACAAGAAATTTAACCAATTTCTTTCCATAACCACTCTTTTCCAAAATTACCAGTCATTATCTTAATCACAGTGCAAAACTGGCATAAAGAAGAAGGCATCTTACCTCGACCTGGAAGGGTTCCTGTACCTGGGAGTATAACAGGAGCCATAGGAAATTTGTGAGTTATCGCTCATATATATTTTATTTTAATCAAATTTTATTCACTCCGATACTTCGATCAGGGGTTTTGGGGTTTTGGGGTTTTGGGGTTTTGGGGTTTTGGGG